TAACCTACATGTACATGTAGTGTTGGAATATCGTGTTTCGATTCATTGGTCTCTTTTTAAAAATGGAACAAACCATTAGTGTTTTAAGCAAGGGGCGAGTTTTTAGGTCGCACTGGGTGAGGTGATTTTGGAGTGATTTGGAGAATCACTGAAGTGTGACGGGTTTTGTTCAGTGGCCATCTGAGACCGACGCTTCTTGGTGCACGGTCTGCGTTGCTTTTTGCTTCCACGCAGGACTTCACGTACATGTACCTTGGGTATTGACTTGCAGACCCACCAAATTGGCATTTTGTGCAACAACAAAAATTGGTAGAAATTAGAATGATTGCCAAACCTAATGGATTAACAGTTTTGTCGTTTATGTCCAATGATGGAGGATTGTGAGCTGCATCATACATGTATTTAGTTTAAATGGGTAGATATTTTGATATTCTGAATTTAAGGGAATTTAAGGGTTTTTCAGTGCCATTCCAGAAAGAAAGAAGGAAAAAAGCGGAGCTGCTTCATGTACATTTATTTCACAACCTGTTCTTTGCCACATTCTCTGTGACATTTGGAAATGCTTACCACCCCCTCCATGTTTCTGTCTTGCTTTTTTCAAGAAATTGACTTGTGTCGATCCCAGTAAACATGCTTGCGAGCACATTCCCCCTAACTGGGCATATTTTGCAATATTTTTTAAGCAGAGTTGGTTGTTGGTAAATTCTAATAGGAAGCAGTCATTAAACGATGCAATGCAAATGATCACACATTTCTATTTGTATATATTGGAACTTGCTGAATTTAAAGTGAGTCTTTGTGAATATTTAAAAAATATTGCTGCCTTTTTCGAGCCCTTGTCAATTAGTAACTTCACTTCTTTGCTGTTGGCCAATTTCTCTGACCAACGTCCCGCAAAAAGCATCATAATTTTATTTTGACAGTCTCCTCCAACTTGCCCCTTGTAGAAATGCAAAAATTCATCATAAATTGTCGTGCAGCCTAGTGTGTCATTTATCAAGTTTTTTTTTTTTTCTCCCATCCTATATCATAAAGACAATGTCATTGCACTAGCTTTTCAGAATCTAGATGTTAAAAGCCCCCTGAAAGCATTACAGGGAGGGCTGGACAAAAAAATCAGGGGCTCGTCTTACATACATACATTCAGGGGCGTATCTTAATTCAATTGTCCAAATTTTGAAATGTGGAGGTCCAACGTATTCAGCTTAATTGCTGTTATGCCTTCAAAGGGATTTATGAAGGAAGAAAAGGCAAGAGATAATTAAGCAGCTCTAGCACGAAACAGAAAAAGCCATTCAATTTGTGCCGCTTTGGGTTGTTGGCAACAGTCCTCGGCTTCAGTGTACCAGTTTAGCCGGTTCCGAGTTCACACCTACAGCCAGCATACCTGAAAAACCATGCGGGTCAGATGATACCTATGTCTCCCCTGGCGCTGCATGCACGCTCTCACCGCCTGTCCCTCCCAGAATTAGCACAAATCAAATCAGTCCGACCTGTAACCTTTTACGAAGACGATTGGAGGGATGGTGGTTGGAAAGTAAAGGGGGGGGGGGGGAAGGAGAGAGAGGTTGTTGGTCGTTTGGTGTTGGAGATGAAGCTTGCCTGGCGAGGCTTCGAGTTGCAGCGTTCCTCTCTCAGGAGCTAATGAAGTTACATGACATACAATCCCGATGACATTTGGTGATTTCGTTTTGGCCAGCCTCGGCCTCGCCGTCCCAACGCTGCCGTTAACGCTGTGTTTTTGAGTGGCTCAAGCCCCCAATGCCCCAAGGGTCCATTGGGCACGAAGATGCGCTTCTAGTAGCAGTTTTCTGGAGCAGCTCACTAGACAAGATTTCTCCCTAATTTTGTTTTTTTCCCCCGTGCTCCCTCGTTGCGTTCTCTGCGCCGCTGTAAGCACCTCGAGATAGAAATCTAACTTCTTGCGACGCATTTTAATTCCTTGCCTCTCAGTTGATGACATTATAGCTGCTGAGATAAATTTTTGTGTTATCATGAAGTTTCATAGATTGGCTGGCTAAAAATTAATGAACCCTTTCATAAAATAGAAACATATTCCCCATAGGGTATTTTAAGTTCATGAATATTTCAAAACGATACCATATTGACATTATTCAGACAATTATGCAAAAAAGACATACATTGTACACTTCCTGCATAATGTTTCTAAAAGTGACTTGTATGCATTCTTTGAAACCTTAAATTTTTCATAAAGATTTTTATTTTTATTAGTTTTGTTTTAATCAGCTTGTTGATTTAAAGGGTGCTCCATCTACAATGTACATGTTCATGTAAATATAGCTCCTTTTTTTTAACATGGACACATTCATGTATATACAGTATGTACATACACCATGTATATAAATATTTACAAACTAATCTATTCTAAATGATAAAACTGTGAGGGACAAATCAATTCCTTTGGCTGATTTTTAATTTACATGTATATTGATAAGCGCCACTCGAGGCCTTAATTGAGAAATTATACCCAAACACTACCCTAACCCGCCCCGCTGCATTGTGACCAGGTTTCTCTCCATTAAACGCGCTCGGTGAGTCTCTCAGACACAACACGCACAGACACACACGCACACTGAGCAATCAACTCGAAGTACGTGAAGTAAAGGCCCTTGCCGGTTAGGAAAATACATGTATCACACGGCCCTGGCCCCAGCAGTTTGGTTGCCGGTTGTGTAAGGATTCATGCAGATCTGTGCCATCAATCACCCAACACACCACATGGACCACAAGTCTACTTGGAATTTCCAAACCCGCAAATATGGCGTGAGTTTGTCAAATTACCAATAATGTTCCTTTACCGATTTCAGACGTGATGTTAACATGTTTACCCTTTTTTTTCCTTCTATAATTCATTCCTATAGTTGGCTAATGAGGTAATAAAGTTGGAGAAATTTCTTTTCCGGCAGTCCTGCAGTAAAAATGAATAATGTAAAATAACTATCGGTTCACAGTCATTGATTTTTATTGTCGTCCTAGAAATTATTAATTCAGTAGGCATTTATGTATGAGGAGATGCGTGTGTATATACCTACGTGTAAATAGTAATATGCATTTCTTTTTGCACATTTTTTTTATCGTTTTTTTTTTTTTTTTTGGCAAAATGCCATTCTGTGTAATTGAATTTGAAATCCTGTACATGCAGTCGATGTTCTGATATGACATACCGGTACCTGTATACAATAACTGCAAGGTGATTAGATGCAAATCGGCTTGGAGATGAAACGTTCAGTTCTATCATCCTAATTGTTGTAAACGTTTGCAGTTATTAATTTGAGTAAAGGGAGAGGGAGCAGACTCAATTGCTCGTCACCAATAGGAATTATTACACTGGCACATGTCATCTTTGATCCAAAGCAACAATCGCTCAGGTGTCTGGCGGAGCCCGAGTAATCGACCTGCAGGGAGAAAGAAAAATTAAAAAATAAGGGGGGGGGGCAACATCTCTGATTAGCATAATGAACAGTGTGATTCACACACGGGCCGACTCGAATCAACTTGTCCCCGTGCGCGCGTGTAAGTGTGTGCGGACTCGTCGCAGCCAATGACATGCCCAGGAGAATGGCAAATAATTTTCCAGCAGGAGGAGCGCTCACGTAAAAATGTCAGCTACGATGGGTATAATTCAGCCTATCCATCAGTTGGCTAGGCGGCGATAATTTGATTTTCTCTCCGTAACAGAACACTTCCCGCTGATTATTTTTTACCAGGTTCATAAAAAAGGAAGGGGGGGGGGAGGATATTGAAACGAAGCTATTGGTCCTTACAAAATGACAATTAATGTAAACAAGTGCTGTGACTTGATAGATGCTAGACTTATTTGACTTAAGTTCTGATGGTAAAAACCAATTTTTAAAGTCTTAAATGATTTTTTCTTATTTTTATAACGATGAGATAAAAATTGAATTTTATAGTTTTACAGGGAATACAGATTTATCTCTTGATCAGTTTGAAATATTCACCATGTTTTGAATTTTACTGATATAAAACATGCAAGTAATCCATGGAAATCTTTCAGAATGAGAATTTCATTCAATGGTATTTTTTTGTGTTTTTTTTCTTCCTACAAATTTCTCCTTGATAATTACAAGCCAAATACTTCAATTTTTCTTTATGTAATAAAACGCGGCCATAATTAGCTAAAATATACCTTTCAATTGTTGTCAAGGAAATAATTGAAAAGCTCTTGAAGAAATTATTGCAAGGTTGGCCAAGCCCACACTGTCTGTTAACACCTTGCCTGGCTGATCTGACCTTCGTTTCCGACGTTTATGTTAATTACCCTTATTTTCAGGCTCATTTTATGGCTCAGTGGAGTACAATTATTCGCACCGCTTCACATACACATAAGGAATTCCTTTAAATTAATAGTAATTAAAAAAAAAAAAAAAACAATATGCGGGTATGACCTCGAAAAATTACTGTAAAATTGTTGATTTATGTGGACGGGTGGTTCGTCCCTACAGTTTCATGCCTTTACTGTCTCTCACACTCCAGTGCATAAGAAATAGGAGCATATCTGTACAATTTTTTATCTTTTTTTTTTTAATGACCTTTTAAAAATTTTATTTCCTTTTTTCTAACCTGCATATTTCCGGTGCTCAGAAGACGCATCGCATACAAGGGGATTTGTACCAGTTGTACAAATAATATTGTACATGCATGCTGTTCAGAAGTAGACCTTCCACAATTTGGTTTCCAGTATTAAGGTTTAGGACGGTAGTTTTTTTTATTGTTGCTCTTTCAGTAGTTGGTAAATATTCCAGCAGTGAGCGGTCTGCTCACTATTGGGTAATGAGATCAAAAATTTAAAATGAAGGCATTGGGCTTTGAATTTTAACCAAAGACTTGACAGCAGCAACATTTGGGATTACTAATAATCAACTGCCTGGTAAAATTCATTGGTGGCATTTCAGGAAACACCCATTGTTTTTGTAAAGATAATAAATTACAAATTTCTTTCATTTTCAATCGTTTCTGCAGCTCTGTTATCTTTGTGGTGTGAAGATCTCGGACGGCTTCTGCTTCTGAGACACCAGAAAAACCGGAACGGGGACTCGCCCAGCAAAGGTGCAGCTCCGATGCATCACCAAATGCAGAAGAACATCCCATCTGGGCCCCCAGGGTGAGTCCACCAGAAGTCTTTTTTCGATAGTCTAAGGTTCACATTCATACTTTGTTTTTATGCTGTGGTTTGTTGTCAGTGATCTTTTGGTCCTTGAGTCTAGACACACACCCAGGTTGGGAGAGTGAGTTGTTCTGTTATAAAGACAGATGACTTTTAGTGTATATTCACAAGGGTTGTGCACTGGATTTTGTGTTCATTGGTCTTTGGTTCACATTTACCAGTTTGCTGTCTGTTTTGCTGTTTGCGTGAGGTTGAGCACTTGGCATTGTTTACAGTGATCCGCGTACATGTACATGTAGGTCCAGAAATTGTGATGCTGGTTTAATGTACGTTTTGTGTACCTTTAATTTTGGTTCACAATGAATGTTTGAGCACTGGATTTATTTTCAATGGTCATTGGTTTGTATTTGCCAATTTTCTGTTTGTTATTTGAAATGTTTGAGACAGGTTCATTTAAAGGGAATATACAACATTTGCTTTTGCTGTATTTTTCATAAATGGATGGATTTGGGAGGGGGGTAGTATTTTTTAGCAAATATTGTTACCAGTGGCGGATCCAGAGAGGTTCGTGCCGGGGGGGCGCAACGGCTCATTCAAGTGAAAAATGGCCTTATTTTACAAAATTTTGGTCACTGTCGGGGGGGGGGGGGGCGCACGCCCCCGTAGCACCCCCCTGGATCCGCCAATGGTTACACTGACTTGTTTGAAGTTTTGGGTTCGTAGATGCTGGAAAAACCAAGAAAAAAATCATGCTCTTGTTGTGTGGTTTCCTGACCCTACTTCAGATGAAACAGAGCAATTTATTAGATGTCTGGGAATTGTAAGGTCAGGAAATTAGTCTAGATGTCATACTGTTTGCAAACAAAATGTGGATGAACTGCTTGTTAACTGAATTTGGAAAATTTGGGGAAAGCATTTGAAGAAAAACCCAGTTGGAGGCTCAGTAAGCACAAAATCGGCTGTTAAGCAGCGCTATGAAATCAGGCTTAGGTTTGCACCAATTAAAATGTTTACTTTTGTTCTTTGTTTTGCTCAGTGATTCCTCAGTGGCATGGCAACAGGGTGGACAGCAACCAACGCAACAGTCACTCAGTGTAGTTACAACAGTATGGGGAGTGACGCAGACTAGTGACAGTAATAGCCTTACCAATAACTCAATGCAACAAGGACCAGGTGGGTAACCCTTGAGGGGCAGAGCAAAGAATTGTAAGGGGTGGTCTTTTTTTTTTTTTAAATTGAAATTTAAAATCATGGACTTAAACCCCTCAACAGTGAAAATGGATATTAAAAAAGGCACTGATATTGAAGGACTATTGGTCGCCATCTTGTCTCAAACACACCGGTAGCCATGGATAATAGAAACAGTGATTAGTAACTGTGAACCAGTGAAGTGTCCTTCATACACCTCATTTATAGGTCACACAGCATCCTCTTTTGTTCAGGCATGAATAGCATGGACAAACAATGAATAATTCATCCCCTTTCGATTCTGCCAAGCTCCAAAACCGGGTTTAATTTCTAGAAGCTGGTATACGTAGAATTGTATAAGCCTAATGGGATTTGCCGTGCTAAAACAGGAAACCATGGAAAATGTCATGATCATGCTCATACATGTACATGTAGGAGCTGTATTCCCGTAAAATTAGGCCCTACTTAGCTGGTTACCCAACCAAAATTGATTGTGATTTATGTTTCTTGTGACTGGTTCGTGACTTATTGATGCTAAGGTAAATAAGAGCTCTTCAATCTGGCCTGCAATATTTTCTGTAACTCCCCATGAAATTGGGCCCAGGAGGTCCCTGGTGGAATTGTAAAAAGGTTTTTGATTTCTTAAGTTTTTTGCTTTAATGGTGTTCGTCACTTTTGTTCCTTTTGCTGTAAAACTGATCAGGTCCTTCTGCAGGCAATAACCAGTATTCCCAACAGCAGCACCCCTTCACTGCGGCGGCAGCCAACTCCAACAAACAGTACAATATGCCCATGCCGGGCATGGGCCCATATCGCAGAGAGCCTGGCCCATACAGAGGGCCCAACGGGTGAGACTTCATGTCCATTCCAGACTGGCGTTCCAAATGAATGCCTTTGTCTCAGTTTTATTTATTTACACAGACATGTGATGGACTTGTGATTGACTTGACTGTAACGCTGCCATGACATTATTTCATAAACACTCAGTGTTGTCGGAGGGCTTGAGAGAAAAATTTGGCTTACTTAATTCGGGCGATTCACAATACAGTGGGCCACCAAGAGTTTGCCACGAAGAGTTCATTTTTCCTAGTGCATTGTGGGAGATGGTCAACAAATTCACGGCGCGGGACATTTGAAATTGTTTGTTTTTCCAATCAGTAGTTTCATAAAGGTATGCTTCGAGTATCTGTTTGCTCTTTTGTTTTCTTTTTGTCAATGTGTTTTTTTTGTGAGGCGGCAGAACGCTATGCCCCAATCTATAACAAATTAGTTCAAGTTGTCTACTGACTCTCATTCAAATGGGCCATGTTTTGTCGACTTAAACTAGAAAAATGAAATCTCCATGGCAAACTCTTGGTGGCGCACTGCATTGTGAATCGCCTGAATTGGGCAGGACATGAACCCACAACCTCCTGCATACACTTGTAGATAATACCTCTTGTAGATAATACTATTTGGCCTCAAATAGTGATTGGTTTCAGTACCTACTGCTCAGATTCAAAGCCAGCAGATTCAAAGCCAGCAGATTCAAAGCCAGCAGACCCCGGCATGCTCGGTGGTCGAGCAGAAAGACGTCTGCACTAGTAAGCAGGTGGTTTCAGTTCAAGTCCCACTTGTAAATTTTTTCTTGGAAGCCGTCAGACAACACTGTGTATACACTGAATCCAACACCGCCCTTCTCCAAATGGTTAACCACAGACTCTGTTTCTCTCATGGCCAGTGGTGGCGGTTATCCAGGTCAGACCCCAGGTCAGATGGGACCAGGCGGACCCTGTCCTCCTCAGTCTTCTGTTCCCAACGAGTTCCCCCAGCCCGCTGCGGCAGCAGCAGCAGCAGTTGTAGCAGCAGCGGCCGCCACGGCGACTGCAACAGCAACGGCAACTGTGACAGCTCTGAAAGAGCAACAGCAACAACAGCAACAGCAGCAGCAACAGCAACAGCAGCAGCAACAGCCAATGAATGATTACGGGCAGGTAAGTCATTGTAGGTGCCAGATGATATCCCAAATGTGGGTGCAAAATAACATTTTTCCCTCCCCCCTCCCCCCCCCCCCCCCAAAGGAAAAGATCCATTTGTGATATGCTGTGTCAAGGACAGACTCTTCTGGGCATTTGATTTAACATAGATCTTTCTCCTTTTCAATTGTGATTCAATACTTGATAACGGACTTCCCTTGGAAACAGAGAAATGATCTTTTAAAAGTTTGTGAGGCATCCATATTTTTGAACTTTATGCCTTTTTACAAATCATCCTTCCCCCCCCAAAAAAACCCCATCTTTACTGGCAGAATTACATCTCGACAGTATATTGTAACTTTATATACAATGTACCTCCAAATGACGTCAAAAAAGCATCCTCGGTTTGCTAAAAAATATGATTGTTTTCCCACAGATGAGAATGCAGCCGGGGTTCAACAACCAGTACGGCATGAACCAGGGCGGTGGGCCCTTCATGAATAATATGGGCAACGGCAACAAGCAAGCCATGTACCAGCAACAGATGATGCAGCGCAACCCCGCGCAGCAGCAGTATGCCCAGCAGTACATGAAGAGGCCGTACCCTGGGCATCCAGGCCCTAATAACTTCAACCAGGTACGTGGCAAATGTGATTGGAGGATACTTTTCCGTGCTGTTGAAGACATTTTTATTGTTGGATGTTCGAAAAAACGAAAAAGTGGGGTGGGGATGATTCAATAGCCCATCTCCCCTGGTTAAAAAGTGGGGGGGGGGGATATATGTCGGTTTGAACCCTGCGTTAAACACCTGATACAATGGGCCTATAGCAAATAAACTTAACCGCAAATTATCCAGGATACATTGTACTTATTTAGACGACCCATAAGTTGTATCTCACTTTTCATTTCTCACCTCACCTACCCAGGGCATGCCAAACCAGCAATACGGCCCCATGCCCCACAGCCCCAGCCCGGGGGCCATGAAGGGGCAGTCCCCCTACCCCGGTCAGCAATCGCCCTACCCTTCCCAGCAGCCCATGCCTTCACCCAACTACATGAACATGAGGCAGAAGGTGCCCGGCAACGGCATGAATTACCAGGGCAACCACCAGTTCTTCCCCCGGGGGAACTTCAACGGTGGTCCCCAGGCGATCAACCCACCGTACAACCAGCAGGCAATGGTGAGTGACGAGACCCTTTCCCCTGGGGGTGGGTCGGGGGGGGGGGGGGGTCGGGGGTTGACAAAACCCCAAAAATATGTACCAGTGTTTATTAAAATTAAGACAAGAAACTTGTTGACCAAGTCACAGTGTTGGTTTTTAGGGACTTGTGATGGACCACAAGTTGTCACAAGTCATTCAGTCCCGAGTCAAACCAAAACCTCCTCAAATGAAGTAAATGGAAGGTAGCTTTTTGGGACTTAAATTACAGGGGCCAATTTCATAGAGCTGCTTAAGCACAAAATTTGCTTAAGCACAAAAACGTCTTGCTTAATAAAATCAGGTTACCGGCCAAAACTCCATGCGATTGTTATGCTAAGTAAACAACAGCTAAATACCAGCCACAAGCAATGTTTTGGCCGGTAACCTAATTTTACTAAGCAATGTTTTTTCGTGCTTAAGCAAATTTTCTGCTGAAGCAGCTCTATGAAATTGGACCCAGAGCTCGTATCAGGAGCTTGCGACATCATCACGATATCTTTATCAACTTGCGTTGTTGAGGCCCTCACGTGACACAGGATCATGCTTGGTCGCACGACAGGAGGCGGTCGTACACGTGGGCCAGCTCATCTCCTCCATCTCTGTTCATACAACAACACCAGTTAATAAAGACACTGGTGTCACAAACTCTATACAAGCTCTGTGATTTAAGTCCCAAAAAGATTTACTTGATTTAATAATGGGACTGCAAACGAACTTTCATTCTCGATCATCAAATGAACTTTGGCAAAGGCGTAAGCTATGTTAGTATTATTCCCCTGCCACTTGTGAATGGAACTCTGAATTGACTTGTGATTTACTTGCGAGCAGACTTGTGATCCATCACATGTCATAGGATCTGCACATCATTGCATTTCTTTCACCATGAAATAAACCACAAGACAACTTTTCTGCCTGTTAAACAGCTCCCTGGAATTGCCCCCAGGATTCACCTCGAAATTGCGGCTGTAGCGCTTAAAAACTTCCCCAACAAGACAATTTCTCATCATGTATTTTTGTGTCTCTTGTTTTGTCACAGGCCAACCGAGGTATGAACTACCAGCATTCACCGGGTATCCCCGGTAACCCTACGCCCCCGCTAACACCGAGCCCCAACATCCCACCCTACATGTCCCCCACCGGAGATGTCAAACCCTTCCCAGGGGGTCCTCCAGATCTGAAATCAAGTGAGGGGGCAGTTTGTTTTTCCGGTACCGGGAAATAAATGCCAAGATTCTGAAACTTGGCTCCATGATAGAATTCACCTTTTAGCACTTGTTTTACACATTGTATTAAATTGTATTGATTTCCTGATGCATCCATAAACATACAGTGCCGCAGCAGTTTTGGGCAGTACAGGGACAAATGGGATAATCTTCTGGCTTTGATTTTTGATTTTTATGTTTTCTGGATTCCCATCCTAGGTTTTGTGGGTTAAACTGCGATGTGTGTTCAGTGACTTTGCTGTGAGGCTTGTCTAAAATTTGCCGAACGGCATTCTAAAGACTACCACATGTGCAGCACTCAATCACGTGCATATTTAAACTCGAGGTTGCATACCACCTCTTAGTGTACGTGAAGATGTCATTCAACGTCCTCAATGAGAAGCCATAACTGAAGCAGAACCATGCACAAGCATAGGTTATACACACACTCTCAGTGCTCCTTCAGCCAAAAGGGTTGAATGACTATGTTGTATGACTACAGTGCGACGTACGAGTGTGAGTTTCTGCGTTTTAATACAAACTGACTCATGTTCTTACACTTTTGCATCTTGTTTTCCCGTAGCCCCCAACTACGCCCCGGGTATCAGCGATGAGATCCGTATGACGTTTCCTGTCCGGGACGGCGTTGTCCTGGAACCATTCCGGCTGGAACACAACCTGGCCGTTAGCAATCATGTCTTCCACCTCAGACAGTCAGTCCACCAAACGCTCATGTGGAGGTCAGTCTCTCACGCAAGAACCACTCCAACTCACTAAAGAGATATCTTGTCACCACAACCTCTCTCAAAAACTAAACAGTAAACGTGCTTTACCCTTTCAATACCACAGCTTTTTTACCTGTTTCCATCTACAACATATAAAACTGTAGTTTCATCACACCAACAAATTACACTCATGAAAATCTCCGTCAAATTATTTCTTGAACCTTTTAGATCGGATCTCGAGCTCCAGTTTAAGTGCTACCACCACGAAGACCGGCAGATGCACACCAATTGGCCCGCCTCTGTGCAGGTCAGCGTCAACGCCACGCCCCTCTCGATAGAGCGGGGAGACAACAAGACCTCGCACAAGCCGCTCTACTTAAAGGAGGTCTGTCAGCCCGGCAGGAACACGATACAGATCACAGTCACGGCCTGCTGTTGTGTAAGTCTATTCCTTTAAATTTTTGTTTTTTACTGTAATTCTTTTCTGGTATAAACAGGCATGCAACTTTTCCTCGGATCAGCGGATTTCCTCTTTTTTCACTTCTAATGTGTGCCATTGAAAATAGAAAAACACTGTACAAAGTCTTGGAAAGATTTGAATTTTGTGACTTCCCAGTTGCATGCCTGTATAAACGAAACCAGTTGTGCCACAAAAAGTGTACACTCTCTGTAAGCCTGGAAAAAACCTAGACAGAGAGAGATTCATTTTGTGTGCTTAGGATAATACGGTCACAAGCAATATTTATTTTATGATATTTAAGATGGTAAACTGTTCTTGCTAAGCAAATATTTTGTGGTTTGTAAAAGTAAATATTACTCCTTGGCATGAATGATTAGGTTATTTCTTGCATACTATAGCTCTTCCGGAACAATGATTACTGACGTTGCTTTTTTTTTTCTCCTGTCTATGCAGTCGCACCTCTTTGTCTTGCAACTCGTCCACAGACCGACGGTGAGATCAGTATTACAGGGACTGCTCAGGAAAAGACTCCTCCCTGCTGAACATTGCATTACCAAAAGTATGTACTCACTCTTCATTTTACGTCATTGCTCTTCATATCACATCCTTACTGCCTTTTTATTGTCTTCCTCTCATTGTATCCTGTCCTAAATTCTTGTTCCTCATACAAGTTACTTATTTCACTTATTTGGCTTCCTTACTCTGATTTCACACCCTGAATCATTATACATACTCGTGTCTTATTTCACAATCTTACTCCTTTTTCTCACATCTTCGTGTCTGCATAATTTCATTTCTTGTCCTCCTCACAGCACATCCTTACTCCTCACTCCATTTTTTACATTTGCAAATCCTCATTTCAAGTCCTTACTCCTTAACTCACATCCTCAGTCCATATTACATTTCATCATTACTGCCTTATTTCTTGTTCTCACTTACCATGGTCAATTTGTGCATTTTCTAAATGATGCATAATGGGCAGTCAATCATATTAAAATGAAGGAAGTTGAAGAAACGATTAGCACAAATGGTGTACAATTACTTGGTACTTGGTTGGTTCTTCTCCTGAGGACTTCCACAAGGGAGTATAACTAGGAGACCAGAAACACCGGGGCAAACCCCTTCTCTTAGCGATAAGTGTTACTGGGTTCTTTTACGTGAGTTAGGCCTTATACAACACACCTGACCTCCGGCTTAACATCCCATCCGAAGGACGAAGCAATAGCGGTTAAATGCCTTGCTAAAGAGCACAGGTGTCAGGGCCCAGGCTCGAACCCACGCCACTGTTGCCTCTGAAACACCAGAGCATGAGTCCGGTGCTCTTAACTGCTAGGCCATGACACTCCATTACTTTAGTTATTCCTTCCTCTTACAGTCAAGAGAAATTTCTCCAGTGTGGCTGCCTCCAGCGGCGGCATCCTGAACAACGACGACGGCGTTGAGCAGACGGCCATCAAGGTCTCCCTCAAGTGTCCCATCACCTTCCAGCGGATCACGCTGCCGGCCCGGGGCCACGACTGCAAGCACATCCAGTGCTTTGACCTGGAGTCCTACCTGCAGCTCAACTGTGAGCGGGGGTCCTGGCGGTGTCCTGTCTGCAAGTGAGTCCTTACAAGTCCTGACAAGTGTATCCAAGATCAAACAAAAGTCCTCATAAGTCGCAATAAGTCCCGCAATTTTGTTTTACGTCAACCACAAGTCCTTGCAATTAATTTCAAGTCCTCACAAGTCCTTGCAATTAATTTCAGGTCCTCACAAGTCCTGACCACTCTCACAAGTCCTCACAAGACTTCTGAGGACTTGTGAGACTGGTCAGGACCCTCCTATGCAAACATACATTTTTTGCCAAGTAGTCCTCTCAGTCAAAATCAGTCAAGTGTCTGTTTTCAACTGTTAAGAATTCCCAGCCTACATAAAGCAAGATTGACTGGCCGTGACTGTTTATGTAACTCGAGCTTTGCTTTGGCTGTGGGTAATTGATGTGGGTAATTGAAAGCCAGCTGTGCCCACAACTTGCCTGATTTGTCTGTTCATGGTCTGTTGACTGAGTTTGACTAGTCACTGTGTTCGCTTGACATATGATCTGACTGCTGGTGACTAGCCTGTGTTAAAAATATAGCAGGGGAAGTGGATAAAAATTTTGACTGTCTGTGACTGTTTAAATAGGAAGAGGGCTAATGACAAATCAATCACAAGTCGGTCACAAATGCTTGAAAGTCCTCACAAGTCAACCATAAGTCCTCACTAGTCAACCATAAGTCCTCACGAGTCAACCATAAGTCCTCAAGTCAACAGTATATACACATAAGTTAATCACAAGTCATCCCGTCTCAATTCAAGTGATGACTCATTAAAACGAAATGTGAGAAGGGCTGTTTCTGGCGATCCGACTTGTGATTGGACTAGTGATTGATTTTCATTTAACCCGACTACAACTCTGGAGTCTTCTCAGAGTCTACCGTCGAACCCTTTTATTCACTATGCTTTTCTTTTTCAAATTATCTTACAGCAAAACTGCCTTGCTGGAAGGATTGGAAGTGGATCAGTTCATGTGGGGCATTCTGACGGCCGTTCCGTCGGCCGACTTTGAAGACGTCACGATTGACGCCACGGCGAGCTGGAAACCGGTGCCCATGAAATGCGACATTAAGGACGAGGAACCAGGTATGGGGGAAGGCAAAATATGACCCTTGATTAAGAAAACTGATTTATCTGCAATAAGAGCAAAATATCAAACTATTGTGGCATTGTAAAGATGCACTTGTTGCCAATATGTGCAGTGGGTGGGCCTAATGAATCTGTCACAATACAGAGTGGCCTAAAAAAAACAAACGGAACGGCATACTTCGCTAGCCTTAGGCTCAAACAACCTATACCAATGCATTGGGAATTCTGTTAAAAGACAAATTATACCAAGATCGTTGATTCACTCCAGTAGTTTTTGTTCTAGAGCCTGTTTTGTGAAACAAAGTCGGTAGTCATTTCGTCCCAATGAATTACTAAACCACGCCTGCGAATTTGACTTAATTGGATAGGGGGATTAATTGTTATGCAATAATACCCACATGAAAGACGTTTGCTTCACAAAATAGGCTCTGCAGCAAAAACTACTTGACCGAATCGGGAGACCTTGGTATTCACATTTCTTCTTAAACGACTCCCCTTCCATTGGTGCAGGTGGTTTGAGTCTCAAGGTAGTGGAAGTACGCCGTTCCGTGGTTTTTTTTAGGGCCACCCTGTATAAGTCAGGGGTGTGAGTGACCACTGATAAAAATAGCTGAAAACAGCTGGAAAAGGTGTAAAAAAGCTGAACTTTGGAAGTCTCCTATACTTTTGTACACAGCAAGTGAGGGAAAAAAGTTGAAATCCAAAAAACAAAAAAAGCTGAAATCAGCTTTGAAGCTGAGATTTCACACCCCTGAATTAAGTGTGCTTCTGAGAGGTTTACCGTGGAGGCGCCATTTATTTCACTGCAATTTTTCTTTTTGAATTTTTCAGATACCTGTGGGTCATCGAAGCGATTCAAGGCTATGTCGCCAGGCAGTATGACCATGCCCGGCATGCACAACTATGACAATATGGGCATGGCCCACTCCCCCTACCCAATGGGGGGCCCGCCACCTCCAGAGTTCAATGGTGATTCTTTTTCCTGTCCATCTGTCATCTTATTATTTGTAGATAAAGTGCATTAGAAGGAGTGCTGTGGCCTCGTGGTTAAGGGCACTGGATTCATGGTCTGTGGGTAAAGCTGCGGGTTGTGGGTTCGAGTCCAGCCGGGGTCATGGTGCATGTGCCCTTGAGCAAGGCATTTTGTCACTCATTGCTTCTCTCCACCCAGGAGTAAATGGGTACCTGTGAGGGCAGAGATGGTTATTGTGATTGAATAAGCTTGCTTGCGCCTAACCGGCAGCTTTAAGCTGTATACACCCAGGGAGCTGAGATGGTATTTGGAATGTTTAATTGGCCCAATGATCAGGGGTAATAATAATATTGTAAGCCCTGTGATTTAGTTTACTAATAAGAGCGTTCTTAAATGCCGATTATTATTAGAAGGGCATTCTCATTTTTTTTTATTAGTCCCTCCCAAATTTTTCTGTATAACCATTTAGGGGGTATTTGTGCATGAAGTCTTTACTAAGTGTGAAGTGGTAATGTGGTCAAATTATTTTTCATGTTGGAGCAAGAGTTCCTTAACTGTATGTCTTCATGTTTTTTGCTGGCAAAAGTGCTCAACATTTTTGAAAAAAAAACAGATACCTTTTTTGTGGTTGTCATTAATTATTGGGAATTTTTTTGGTGTTTTCTTCAGGACCAGGACCAGGGCAAGTCCCTGGTGGACCAAATTACGGGAACTACAACAACTTCAACAGTCCAGTCATGCACGGCGGTGGCGGCAACGGAATGAATGGACCCTCCATGGGCCACTTTGACGACAACATTGCCACGACGGACATGGTGCCCGTTGAGAAACAGTATAACCACGCACTACCACCTCATGTAAGTCATGAATCATTTTTGTGTAGTAGTTTTTTGTCAAGCGGTTAGTTTGTCATGCTGGTTGAGTGGTTTGGTTGGAATTTTTTTTGGGGGGGGGGTGGGATGTTAATGTAGGTTGTAAATTGGCTGACCAAAGGTTATTTGCAACGTAGTGTATGAGCATTCACACTTTATATCCATGTGGCCAACAGTGTGAGCAAAAGATAAACCATTACAGTACGCATGCAGTCGGCATTACAGGCCCTTGACTTTCCCTTTCCAAGCCAGTTACTGATGCACATGCTCTCAAAGCTTTTTTTAAGTACCCAGATTGTAGCCTTGCACATCCATGATTCAAATCGCTAGAGCTAATGGTAGCACATGAAGGCAAACAAGAAGGCAGAATGTTAAGGAACTCAGTTAAGATGACAATGCAAGATTATAACCCGATGTTGTAATGGATGATACTCTTCTTTTATTTTTAGATGAGCCATCCAGGTTCAAATCAAGGTCCATCGTCTAATGTTAGGCATCCGGGGCCAGCGGGGCCCCCACACCCTGGGAACAACCCCCATCCGGGCAGTAACCCCCACCAAGGGGCTAATCCCAACCCTGGCAACAATTCCCATCCAGGAATGGCTGGTCCCCAGCCCAACGGCGGACCCCACCACAGTGGGCCTGGTACGCCAGGCAACGGGTCCACGCAACAGCAGCAGCAACAACAACCTCAGCAGCAACAGCAGAGGGTGGGGATGCACCCGAACGTCAATGCCAAACCACCGACGCCTGGAATGCCGCACACGCCAGGAATGCCCCACACGCCGGGCATGCCCCACACGCCAGGCATGCCCCACACCCCCGGCATGCCCCACACGCCAGGCATGCCCTTGACTCCCAGCATGCCCTTGACTCCTGGCAGTGCCATGCCGCCCACGCCGAGCACAATGAACTCTGGGAACGGCAGCAGTGTCGGCAGCAGTAACGGTGGCAGCGGTGGGATGCCCAACCACATATCCTCAACCTCACTCTCGCCCTCCACCACGCAAGGGTCACACCACATACCCAACCATCACTCCCCTCATCCAGGCACCCAGGCACCCACATCCATGATGAACCACAGTGGGCCGCAACAGCCCAAGACGACAACGGCCAGCATGGCCATGAACACTAATAACCATATCCAGTCTGGTTCGGATTTGAACTTTGACCCAGCAGCTGTGATCGATGGAGGGGCCGAGGGGCAGGAGGGTCTGGATGTAAGTCTCAATTTCACACTTCTTGAAATAAAAAAGTAGCAAGATTGTATTGGAAGAAACACAAGAAGATAATAAATATAAATATTACTGTAAGCCACGTGACACTCTGCAACGCAGTACTTACCTTTTTTTATTTTTGTTCTTTTGTTCACAGTTGTTACCAGAGAATATGGGTGATGTGGACTTGCTTTCCATTCTAGGACAATCAGACAACACACAGAGCAACAACGAAAATGACGAACTTCTCTCCCTCTTCGATACATAGGGACCACTTACGGCCCATCTAAAATTAATAATTTAAAAAAAAACTGGAGAGAAAGAACAAAATGTCGTTTTGTGCAGGACACACAGTGCTTGGTTATTGTGGAGAGAGGATGCGAAAACAAAAATCGCTGCCGTGCCAGAATGTTCTCGATGAAAGTCTTGGATGTGATGTTATTTGAGAAAAAGGTGTCGACACTTCATTCCACTGCTGCGTTTCCGATACTTTGCCATGCGAAGGAGAAACAAATTGTTTTTTATCTCACGACTAGAAGGCCGTGTCTGCTACTGTTGGCAATCACGAATTACACATCCCAAGTGTGCCACGACTTGGCTTCGCGCTCCTTCTTGTGAGAGGTAGAGACAGCATCGCCGACCAACAAATTCAAGACTTGGATTATCAGTTGAGGACGTCATTACCTTATGTCTGTTATATGTCTGCCATAGCAAGATCATCCAGGACATCCAGGGGAACCGCTGTACCAAAGAAAACACCCCAGTACCCTACCCTGAGAAAAATTTCCCACTTCCCCTTCTCTCTCTGTTCTCCAGGAGGTGGGGTTCATGTCTACCTTAGCAGTATCGCACCCAGCACAGACCCTGATATTGGGCTGGAGATCCACTACAGTTGCTGCACTCAAGATTCTGTTGCAATGATGGTAAGAGCAACTGTTGCTGTAGCTACGCATCCCCGAGGTTGCCCATGGCAACAGTTGCTCTGCCTGCTTTACTGGGGATTCTATACACTTGTTTGTCACACAATAATTTAGAAGAAAATCGTCCAACAAAAGATCCAAAGTAGCGCTCAAAGAAAATTAAGATATCTTTTAAAATAATGAGCATCCCAATACAATGGAGCCTAAGTATCAACCAAAGTCACTTGCCCAACCAGAATTCCTCTTGCCTAAAGCAAATTTTCTGCCACGCAGTCAACTAATCTTGGCTTTGAAGTGATTTTTTTTGGGAGTGTCCCATTCCAATTCTTACAGATTCCGTTACAAGTCAACAACATACTTGCCACCATTTGAGCCCCCTGTGTTTACTCACAAGCAACCATTTCGCAAGCCTTGTGAAATGAAATAAGAATGCAAAGTGCTTACTTTGAAAAGCAATGTTGTAATTGTTTTTGTTTTAAATATTCTGAATATCATATCCTTTGTGGGAGAGTACCTGTTCCTTGAAATACCTTTTGGAAGGTTTAATTTTAAAAATATATTGTCCGATGAAGTGTAATTTTAAATAAATTATGTTCTAACACCAATGCATATCCTTTGGCTTTAGTAATTGCCATTTTATTTTTGGCTAGTGGACCAAGATAATTTTGTTATTTATTTGATGAAGGACCAGAAATATTTCTGGGAACAAGTGCAGGGAAAAATAGTACCAAAAACTCCCCACAACGTCCATTGAGTAGAAGCTAGTTTCAGTCATACAGCCAAGAAACAAATTTAACCGTTGGGGCTTCGCTTGGATCACATATCACAATGACCTTATCTTGATCATCTGACAAGATCAGCTGACCTGATCACCCGGATAGCTGATATCTTGTCACCTGAATGAATTGTCCATGTTTTCAATTTTGTGGTATTTTCTTTTAAATAAGCAACAAGCCTGTCGGGGACAATTTAGCTTTATTGTATTCAACTGCAACAAGGCAAAGAATTCTAAAAGTAACTTGTGTCTGACAATTCTGCAGAGGGCAGCAGTTTTGGTTAAATTAATCTACACAAAGTAAAGAAGAAAAATATCAGGAATAAAACATTTCGGACGTTTGGAAGCCTACGCTGATTCACTAGCTATTGCTGATGCACACATTGATGGTTCATTGTGAACTGTGGAAAATCAAGTCTCTTCAAACGTGAACTATACGTGTACCCAATTAAATATAAAAAACAACAACAATAAAGTGCTTTCCCGTTTAAGTTAATGATTAATAATTCTACCGTGCTGTATTATTTATGAAAGGATGTGTGCCAGAAATGTCATTTTCTGGCGAGATGCCTAAACCGTTGGTAGCTTGCTGTTTGACATAATGCAGGCCAATGCATCTCTTTTGTCTAACAATGCGAACACTTTTTTAGGAAGCTATTTATGATACATCGAAATTTCAGATGTATACGGTTAAAGTGACAAAAGGGAGTGACAGTTAGGGTGAGAAAGTGACATCAAAAAGCAGTGAGGGATCAAGAAGTCCGGCGTGCCATGTGTGAATATCGTTTAAGCTTTACTATTTATAAAAAAAAAAATTCAACAATACATTTTTATAAAATGAAACAGGTAGTAAACATTGTTAGCAGCATTTTACCATGCCTTTGACGAATAATTGATGTCTTTATTCAAATAACTAGTGGGTGTTTGACTCTGTGATCCCCTGTTTTGGGCATACATACGTGTGTGTATGAAAACCCAATCACTGTTTTTAAGTCTAAAATATCATTTGTAATAAAGAACAAGCTTTTTTATACATATACATATCTATATAAATATATATATATAATGTACATTTCCCTTTCAATTTTTCTTCGTTGTTTTTTTTTTCTTTTTAGTTCTTAGTGTATTATACAGTTCAAACCCAAAGCTATCTTTTTAAATTTAACTTGGATTCTATTTATTTTTTATTTAAGAGTAGACGTTTTAGTTCTTTTTTTTTTTGCTGAGAACGACTCCTTGGTGCAAACAATAAGTCATTAAGATGTATGCTTGCATTAAACAACAACAACCAAATGTAAGACATTTTTCAAGATATCAAATATAATCATTTTGTGGAAGAAGTTTTTTTTTTTTTTTTTATTTGAGAACGGGCATATATCATAAAACATCAGTATGTTACTACTGTAATAAAGATATCACAGGTTATGGACTTTACACAGACGGCGGTTTCAATTTGTACGAGAGTGAGATGGACTGGTTCCCTCTCCCATTCTATTATGATTTGTATGAGAAAGGGGGTGGGAGCCAGGCTTGACGCAAAAGCTCCTATGTGTGATGCTTGCGCTGTTTCCACTCGTTGACATGAATATTCATAGAAGGGAAGTGGCCTTTACCTATTTTCACCACTGACATAAGACCTGGAAGTATTGCCAATCGTTTTGTTCGAATCAAGTGTCACATAATTTAATACAATTTGTTTTTAAAATTGAAATGAATGCAGGGTCTTAATTGATTGTAAACAGTTGATTTTTTTTAAATTATTTTACCATCATAAGTAACAAGATTGTTGATTAAGTTAATTGTTTCATTGATTATGGTTGTTTGTAATGTCTCATTTTCTCCATTTTTAGTTTTTTTTCCAAAAAAAAGAAGATCTGATCATTAAGAGCATTCTGTTGTGATTAGAGCTTTTCAGTAGTATTATCGCATTCATGGAAGTGACTTTTGTGTTGTACTTTTCTTTTGTAACAAAACTATTTAAAAACAAAAAGGTCTTTCTAGTTCAGAGAGCATTTATGACCAGTTATTTTGCAAAAAAAAACAATGAATAATAATAATTTGCTTTTCGTTGTTGTACCATGTTGGACAAAAAGGGAAGAAATTGCTTGTGCAATTTCGATTCCTTGATTTTAATGCTATGTACATGTACATATACAAACACTTTCTGTTGTTTTTACATAGATTTGATGTTAACTCATTTGTCGTATCTATTTGTGGGGCTTGGGAGTACTTTAAAGGTACATTTTCTATCTGGAATTTGCCCAAATTAAGTGTTGTATATTGTTTACTAACCATATTTCAAAGTTCCGAGTCATATGAAACACACATAATGCCTTTTACAGTTACAGAGAAAATGTTGACAAATCCTGTTTGTTGATGCATTTGAATTGTTCTTTATTGTTGCAGTAACTTTGAAAGTTGGAGGGTCGATGACATTTTTTGTTTCAATTTCTGCCAAGGCATATAAAGGTTGACGCATCAAAATGAAATTATAACATGATTTTCAAGGGGAACAAAACTGAAGTAGCCCAATGGGTATCTGGTATTTTCTAGCATCAAATTGCTGGTAGCTGTGTTGTTTTACTTTTCTTGCTTCCAGCACTTCTTTGTCTGACCTCATTGGATATTTAGTATTCCTGTGTCCTCGTGCAATGTTCACGAGGTTCACAACTCGTACCAATGTGTATATTTTATGTGTCTTCCCCAGTAATGTTAAGAAGAAAAAAACAACAAAATGCATATCTCTTCCAACACAGTATGGTGGCACAAAGACCTGAAATCTGTATGATCTGTTTTTTTTTTTTTGGTTGGCCTAAAGTTATTACGCAGAGTTGTTTTCTCTCTGCAGAAAATATGTATAATGTGATGTGTGTGTTGAAGAACATTGCAAAAATAACGTGAAGATTACATGTATATTGGTTTTGAATATTCTTCCCATAAAAAAATGTCTGTACTGTGGCGTCATGTCGATGCCTTTCTGAGAAATCATCACAGAGTTTTGGGAAAAGATCTGTTCTTTGTTGGTAATAGCAGATCACAGGGTAATGTGAGACACACAAACGTATGGGTGAAGTTTTCATGGCTACCTAGCATATCTGGTTGTTCTTCTGTATCTGTAATGGATGATATCTCAATTAACTGCGTTGTTTTATCGTAGATAATTATTCTTTTTACCCCAGGTGAGTTTTATTGTACAGAATGTGTAAAACCATTATTTATATGTGCATATTAATGTAAATATTACATATTCATGAGCATCTGTGAGTGACATGACTATATTTGATATAACAGATGCAACCAGTTTGTTCCTTCTTTCGGTCAATTCACTGTGTTTTTGACCAGCATTTCCTCTTTTTTTTTCAAGCCTTGTGAAGTGGAAAAAAACCAGCCCCGTGTAGGTTGATACCATGAAAACAATGATTTCCCTCAAGTAATTGTAAACGTATTAATGTTAAGTCACATGTTCTTTGTATTATTTATTGAATCAATTAAGTTTTTTTTTATCTACCTTTATTTTTTACAAAGGTGCTTTGCCCTTTTTAAGAGCACCTGAACGAAGTATTATGGTTGATGAAATCCAAAATGTGTACAGATTGTGGCAAACTGAGTTGTTTCCTGTACATTTGTAGTGAAGGACTGTGCAAGTCTAGCCTCTGAGGGATCCTTTTAGAAATCCATCATATAGATAATTAAGTTAAAGTTTGATTTCACCATTAGAGCAATAATTAGATTCGCACAGTTTTACCTCCGCCAAAAAAAGATACAGACATATACTGTAATTAAGAAAAAAAATACAAAAAAAAAATATTTTTTAAAAACACATGGCGGCTCATGATGATAGGTCACACAAAAAAATGAAATTTTTATACGGCAAATGAATATGTAATATATTGGCTGAGAAGAAACAAACAAAATGTCAACGATTTGGGGTTTTTGATGAATTTTTTTTTTTGGGTCAGTGTTTTATGCGTTCTAGAGTAGTTTTTACGAAGTAGATGGTGCAATTAATGTGTATGAATGTGTACCAATGCTAATTGGTGCATGCTTTAGGCAATATCATACTTCCTGTGTACAAAACGAAAAGCAGAAACGAGGATGAATTTGTTTTTTTCCCTCTTTGTAGAGTCATTGTATAACCTAGCTCCATTACTGAGAGAGAGTAGTGATGATGCACTGTACATACGACAACGGAAAAACGAAACAATGTGTAGCAATCTACATTGTAGTTTGAGAGATGGACAAACAAAATATGAGTAATTATTACAATCCCATAAATTGTCATTGATAATATTTATCTAATTAAAACAAAGTCCATGAAAGAGCAAAAAACGAAGACTTGTGTCAAGCTGTTTTATTTTAAAAGTGTTATTTTTTATGGTGTTGTTCAGCAAGAAATATATTTTAAGTGATCAGTTTCTGTAAAAAATATTGCACAGTTGTAGATAATAATCTGATCGCGCCAAGTGTTTTTCCCATCAAAATCTGTACTTTGCAGCTCGATGAAATTAGCCATTGTTCATCCGATTGATTGGCAGAGATGCATATTTTTACGTGGTCCAAATTGCTTATGAATTTCTGAAGAAATTTGCGAGTCCGCTTCGGAACTACTGTAATTTTCTTGAATTGCGCTCTTCATTAGGCCAAACAGGGGTGTGCGCATGACACAACCAATACGAGTTTTCCTAGACGTTGTTCCAGAAGTGTTCCTGAGCGATATTGGTTGGTCGTGATAGTGCCCTCTCGGGGCGGCGGGTGATCGTGTATCAAACTATTAACAACGTCTAGCCCCTAGACTAGACTTACCCTTTACCGTTTTGAATTTATGATAAAAAGTTAACTTTAGCCCCGTCTTGATAAAAATGCAAGGCTAACCACTTACCGTTTTGAATAATGTTTTTTGTCCTCATTTCCTTCTTCAGAATTTGAGCATATTGTGGGCCATGAACTTGAGCGTTCGTACAAAATAAAAGTGGAAGCCGTGCACTGGAACGTGAGCTTGTATATTTTGTACAATTTGGATGAAATTGGGGCCCCCAAAGCGCTCTTTTTTTGCAATGGACTGTAGGCACTGTTTTTTTTAAATGGCGATGAGCTTCAGGACAATTTTAAAAGGTTATCATATTCGGATGGAAACTTCTCCCCAAAGTCGTCAGATTACCCTAAACAATTGAAAAGATGATAAAATGCTTGAATTTTGATGTGTCTCGACCATCTTGAATGGTACATTGTGGGTATTTTCCCTGACTTTCTGAAGTGGAGGCATTTATCATTGGGGTCTATGGCAGTTTATTGCACCCATTAGGCCACTGTTAAAAGCGGACACTTTATGGACACTCTCGGACAGTAGGTGGCGGTCTTCATCGCTGCAGACATACGTGACACGCTTTTTCCGACAGCCGATGTCGCCGGCTCCATTTTGCTTCTCGCGTCCCCGCCTGGCTCGCTCTTAATTCGTCCATGGAGCCAAAACAGATGCACACAGCAATGTTCAAAGTTTTTCCGCCTGTTATTAAGACACTTTGTTTTTGAGTAGAATTCTAAGGAAGCCTGATGGCCGAGTGGTTAGATTCGTCGTCCACGAATCGCGGAGCCCGGGTTCGAATCCCGTCGGTGTATTTTTGTTTTTCAACGCCCGCATTCTATTCAGTGAGTATAAGATGTTTAATTTCCCATCGTAAATCACCAACGGTACCTTAGCTTAATCGGTAAGCACTGCGGCTGGTACTGTCCGTGAGTTCCAGGTTGGCGCCTTCGTACAGGTTCAGGGCATGTGGTCCACTCGGAGGATCAGGGCTTAGGGTGCCGCCCTGTTCCTCCCTTAGCTCTTTGCTTTTACATGGTGCCTGGCCCTCCGGGGTTACATGGATGGACAGGGAAGGAAGTGTGTATTGGCCGGGACACCCGAGAGCCCAGAAGAGAACTAAGGGAACGGCTGGGGCATTGTTATGGCTCAGACCGATCCCTGAAAGCTTGGCTAGCACATAACTTTTTGATTTTTTTATCCTCTGTTTTTATTAAACTTTGGTTTAGTTTGATATGTACATCTGCTCGGCAGGTCTAAACGGTGATATTAAAAACGAGAGAAAGGTATATATAATAATTAATGAATTTTTGATAATTGACTATAATCAAAATTAAGTTCATTCATGATCAATATGACTACCATTATTAATGGCGTAATTTGCAATCGACGTAAGAAACGCCATATACAATATTATACGGGAACAAATAAAGATGTGATGTATATTATGGCTCGCACCATGCTTTCAATGGGGTGGCTATTCAAATCCGACGATTATAAATACCAAAGATCCTATAGCGCCGTAGGATACTCTATAAAACTTTAAAAGAATAGCGGGCAAGGACGATGGAAGGACGTCAACAACCATCGAAAAAATGTCGAGTAAGTTGCTATTTTCATGCCTAAAAGTTACGCATTTCATCTTAAGTAATTGAGTAGGAACTACTGGCCACACTGGAGTACTTGTGGGACAATTTCAATTCAAGTATGGATGCAAATGGCGAGGAAAAATGAAGCTAAAATTCGCTGCAATTAGCACTGCATGTAAAAATGTAACTGTACAAAAGGTAAAAGCCCCCCTCGCGTCGCTCATGTGTCGAAGGGAATTGCGTTCCTGAAAAGTGAAATTGACACTTAACAATATGGTAACAAGTGTCAAATTCAAGAACAGAAATAAATTGGGAAAGATTCCCATATCTGGCCATCACTTGGGGTCACCCTGTGCACAAACCCTATGAGACTGGATAAAATGTTGTTTTTGCCCCTTTTTGATAAAAATGCAAGGCTAACCCTACCATTTTCAATTTTGGATAAATATGTTGTTTTTGCCCCTTTTTGATAAAAATTCAAGGCTTACCCCTTACCGTTTTCAATTTTGGATAAAATTTAGTTTTTGTCCCTTTTTGATAAAAATGCAAGGCTATCCTTTTACCGTTTTAAATATTGGATAAAATTTAGTTTTTGCCCCTTTTTGATAAAAATACAAGGCTAACCCCTTACCGTTTTAAATATTAGATAAAATTTAGTTTTTGCCCCTTTTTGATAAAAATGCAAGGCTCACCACTTACCGTTTTGAATGTTGGATAAAATTTAGTTTTTGTCCCTTTTTGATAAAAATGCAAGGCTATCCTTTTACCGTTTTAAATATTGGATAAAATTTAGTTTTTGCCCCTTTTTGATAAAAATACAAGGCTAACCCCTTACCGTTTTAAATATTAGATAAAATTTAGTTTTTGCCCCTTTTTGATAAAAATGCAAGGCTCACCACTTACCGTTTTGAATGTTGGATAAAATTTAGTTTTTTCCCCTTTTTGATAAAAATGCAAGGCTAACCCCTTACCGTTTTCAATTTTGGATAACATGTTGTTTTTGCCCCTTTTTGATAAAAATGCAAGGCTATCCTTTTACCGTTTTAAATATTGGATAAAATTTAGTTTTTGCCCCTTTTTGATAAAAATGCAAGGCTAACCCCTTACCATTTTCAATTTTTGATAAAAAATTGTTTTTGCCCTTTTTTGATAAAAATGCAAGTCTAACCCTTTACTGTTTTAAATTTTGGATACAATTTTGTTTTTTGCCCCTTTTTGATAAAAATGCAAGGCTAACCCCTTACCGTTTTCAATTTTGGAAAGCAAATGTGATTTTGGCCCTTTTGATAAAAATGCAAGGCTAACCCCTTACCACTTTCAATTTTTGATAAAAATTTGGTTTTGCCCTTTTTTGATAAAAATGCAAGTCTAACCCCTTACTGTTTTGAATTTTGAATACAATTTTGTTTTTGCTCCTTTTTGATAAAAGTGCAAGGCTAACCCCTTACCATTTTCAATTTTTGATAAAATTTGTTTTTGCCCTTTTTTGATAAAAATGCAAGTCTAACCCCTTACTGTTTTAAATTTTTGATTAAATTTTGTTTTTGGCCTCTTTTGATAAAAATGCAAGGCTAACTACTTACTGTTTATCTACTTTCTACTTACTGATAAAAATGTGTTTTTTTCCCCTCTTTTTGATCATTTTAAATATATATATAAAAAAAACCTGGTTTTTTCTTAGAAAGTTGAAAATGGCAAGGGGTTAGCCTTACATTTTTATCAAAAAGGGGCAAAACAAAATTTTATCCAGGAATTAAAACGGTTAGTGGTTAGCCTTGGATTTTGATCAAAAGGGGGCAAAAGCAAATTTTTCCATAATTTAAAATTTTTCTCTAAGAATCGATGATTTTTGCCAACATGTTTAAAATTATGCATGTAAAAGTATTGATTTATGTTCCTCTTGCATCCAGATGAACTTCTGCCTTATTTGAGAAAAGTCAATTTTTGGCCGATTTTGACTAAAAATGTAAGGCTAACCCCTTGCATTTCTTTCCAATTTGTCCCAAAAATGAAATTTCTTGAAAGTTGCTAGAAAGGTGTCCTAAGGGCCCTAGAACGCATTCCCAATCGATTACTGGACAGATGTGCTATTAAAGGGAAAAATTTCGTCAAAAAATGAAGGTAAAATCGCTCAAAAATTAATTTTTTCCTCCAAAAATTGCTGATTTTTGCCCAAATCTTCAAAATTATGCGTGTAAGAGTATTGATTCATGTTCCTCTTGCATCCAGATGAATTTCTGCCTTGTTTTGAGAAAAGTCAATTTTTGGCCGATTTTGACTAAAAATGTAAGGCTAACCCCTTGCATTTTTTTCAATTTTGGCCAAAAAATGAAATTTCTTGAAAGTTGCTAGAAAGGTGTTCCTAAGGGCCCTTGAACGCATTCCCAATCAATTACTGGACAGATGTGCTATTAAAGGGAAAAATTTCGTCGAAAAATGAAGGTAAAATCGCTCAAAAATTTACTTTTTTCCTCCAAAAATTGCTGAGTTTTGCCCAAATCTTCAAAATTATGCGTGTACGAGTGTGATTCATGTTCCTCTTGCATCCAGATGAATTTCTGCCTCGTTTTGAGAAAAGTCAATTTTTGGCCGATTTTGACTGAAAATGTAAGGCTAACCCCTTGTATTTTTTTCAATTTTGGCCAAAAAATGAAATTTCTTGAAAGTTGCTAAAAAGGTGTCCTAAGGGCCCTAGAACGTATTCCCAATCGATTACTGGACAGATGTGCTATTAAAGGGAAAAATTTCGTCGAAAAATGAAGGTAAAATCGCTCAAAAATTAACTTTTTTCCTCAAAAAAATGCTGATTTTTGCCCAAATCTTCAAAATTATGCGTGTAAGAGTATTGATTCATGTTCCTCTTGCATCCAGATGAATTTCTGCCTTGTTTTGAGAAAAGTCAATTTTTGGCCGATTTTGACTAAAAATGTAAGGCTAACCCCT